CGAGCTCTTCTCCAATGGCGTTAACCTCGGATGAACGCATTCGTGCTTTTGCTTATACCCAATAAAAATGTGCAGATGTAAACTTAGCACTTTATGTATATATATATAGATTACTATTTAGTATAAAATTTTGACCTGAGCAGAGCAAAGCACTATAGCCAAAAGTCATACTTGAAAAGTAATAGTACTTTGTTCAGTGTCGCTTAAACTGATGTTAGCTATTTTTAATGCGATGTGCATTGCTTGTGCCGAACTCATTATTCCAAAGTGCTTTGTGTGTGTTAGTTTAATTAACTAACAGGCTCCGATACGAAGGGAAACGCTTCGTAATCGTACATCTATTCATGGAGGAAGGTGCAGTTGAATCAGAGTTGGCTGCAACTCGCTTAAAAGGTCGTTCAACTTCTCATGAATACATTCGAATTCATCACCTTCATGCGTCAATTATCTGGGTTCTGCGCGGAGAGCGAGCATATTTGAACCATAGTCATTAACAAAACGAAGAAATATTCGCAGTCGTAAGATCTGCCTGAGTAAAGTAGCAGTTTTTTTTCCAGATTACAAATTTTGCATGTGATTTTAGACACTTTTAGCTAGACAAATAACTATAACAGCTCGCCGAACACTACTGAGAAAGCGCAAGATAAACGGTTTAAAGTGGTTGAAATATTCAAAGTTAGTTGTTCTAAATCAAACTTAAAGGTACGATAATAATACGAACCGACAGAGATTATTAATTACCAAAGGCGACAAATGTTATTTTAGAGGAAGACATAAGCCGGTCTCCGAACAGCATCACTTACCTAAGCTCAGCTAATTATGTGGTTATCGTTAGCTTGTAGGTTAGAGCTTTCCTCGCGGGAACATTATCGACTAATGTGTCAAGGCTAAAATACGTGAAGGGAACTTCCCACATAACCAGTTATAGACTGAAAGATCTTTAAAATATATGAATAGAAGAATTCGATTTGAAAAAGGGGATCAACTGGCCTCTTCGCGCCAATCATCAGGTCGTTACCACATCGAAGGTGTAGCGTGTCAAAAGCGGGCCGTACTTATGAAAGGAATATTGAAGTATGTCGAGCACTATAGATGGCTTCCATTGAACTCGTCAACTGCAACCAGTGCATCATACACTGGTGCAAGCGCAGCTACCCTAGTGATTCTGCTAGCTTGTCTTTAGCAAAATTCACTGGTTGCTCTGGGTAGGCTGAGATTCAAAACCAAGTCGGTTTTAAATATACCGTAAAGCTGCACTTATTTTTTGCGCCTTTTTCATTCCAGTTGGCAGAAGACGATGGTTAAAATAGAATAAAAATCGTCCAAATGTTCTGTTTTATAAGAAAAGAAATCGCGTTTTGCCTGTCCCGAAGTGGACTGGAGTGAGTTTGGAACTTTGTACTTCTGGAACGTTGCAAAATCCTTATAAGCCTCCATTTCAGAGAGTGTTCGGCGTACGTTTTTCTCGGGACTAGATAAACCATCGCGCAAATTTTGCCTGTAACTCTCTTGGGCATAGAGCGCGGGTCGGTCTGTGTGGCTAACGCATATACTTTAGATTACGTTGTCATAATAAACATACATATACTACCTTCAATGGTTTGACTTTAAAAAAAAACCGCAACCCATATGAGATTTGTTATGATCATCAAAAGGACTGTGACTTGGCACCAGTTTTAAAATTGATTGCTTCATGGCCGTCGAATCTATATATTTCGAGTATATTCTAATCGAGTGTGCCTGCGTAATACATCAGAAATAATTCAGTGATACACTCTTATTGTCGACGGTTGGAAATACGGCTTTGTGGCAGTTGTGATCTCGTAAAACCATGACAGTGCTGATAAATGCTTTGGTGTACCAATTGATTCCTTTAGAAGTTCATTAGTAGCTTGGCTTAATAAATAGTGTATGTTTGAAATAAACACAATATTCTCAACTAGGAACACGCCAAACTCAGTTAAGGTAACTATGCCACCTGCAAATTGTAAATTGAAACTTATTTTATGCATGCTTTTGCAAATATTATATTCGGACCAAAGTGGATATTAACCATGTGTATATTGGATTACCCTGTATTCCGTCAAAACTTCTAACCAGATAGGTGTTCCCTTGATAGGCCATCATTAATAACTAGAATAGTAGTTTTTCATACTGTTATAAAGTTTGTAACATGCATAGCTTGTGAAATCTTTACTATAGATGCGTTCAATTTTATTAAAAAAGTTAAACGCAGGTTTATTAATGATTTAGTCAATGATTTAGTCTTCATGGTTGCAATAGTGGTGCGAAAATGCCAACAACGAGAGACAACTTTATCACAAATACTTTATTAACTTTCCACAGATTATCTTGCAACTACCTGGTATTCAAAACATCGTTAGTTTAGTTTTAGTTCTCAGTACAAATGTTTGGACTAAGATGTTCATCTCGATAAAAAGGTGTCAACCATTAAACTATAATAGTATTAAAAGCTACTTAAAATTAGCTTGTGCGCGAAGAAGAGACGCAAATTGTGACCGCTCGTCGACCTCGGTACCACGTAGTGTAGAGAAAAAACTGATGAGGGTGGCTTGCCCGTACCTAGATAATTAAATTTCTTCAAATAAACCTGCCCAATGTCAAGGGTTTACTCTATGCCTAGATGTTGTCTAAGTTCAGTGGATTAAAAAAAGCCACTAGCTGAATTTTCTCTAATATATATGATTCTTCACCTCTAAAACAATAATAATAATAATAAGAATCATGGACGTACAATTTCTGTAACACGGTCTTTATAAGCCGATGTTACCCGCTACGACTAGAAATGAACCCAATGAAATACGAAAACGCTTTTTGACAGTACTTTGAGAAGACGAACACAAAATTTGTTTTCTATATATATAGTTCTCATTATATGTCACTCAACTAAATATATGTTTGTGCCACATGCTCGTAAGATGGACATAGAAACTTTCAACAAGAGAAATTTCTGATGTAATAGAATATTCATGAAAACATTAAACATATTTCATATACAAATGATTGCAGGTTCTCAGAATTTCTAAAAAGTGCACAACGATTTCAATAGATATGCTAATGTTTACTCATTATATTTCCAGCTTTGCAAGGTTTTCGCTCAACTAATTAATTTATTTTTGTTTGGTATTCATCTTGCGGGCGCTTTTATTTACAGGAATATTTTTTCTAAGATAAATTTTAACAAACATTGAATTCTCTATCATGTTCTCTATCTATGTTCTCAGATCAGTGTTCGAAAAATACTGCCATTTCTAGGTTTACTAGGATAACTTTAAATTCTACTTCTACTCATTTTTGTATTGGTAGGTATTAAATGTTGAATAATCGTTAACCGCCATAATAAAAAATTATACGATATTTTGCCTGGAATAATCACGTTCACGAGCACAAGCTATATATATATATAGGAGAACCGTAAACTTTCTTAAATTCTAACCCTAAACGTTTTTTAAAGTAAATTTTATAAAGCAGCTGTGCTCGGAATGATGACGCTGGTACCTGATTCAAAGTTGAATGAAACTAATCCAATATATTTTTGTAAATGTTCCTGCAGCCAACAGATCAAGATGATTACGTTAAAAGAGACGTGTTCGAAAAAAATAGATGCAACCTTTAGTACTGCAGCTAAAGGGTCTTTAACTAGGAGGGACATACTCAAAGGTTTTCGTAGTAGAGGAAGGTAGCGGTCACTCCTTATCATTGCGTAAAATACTTAACATACGATATCTTATACTAATAAAAAATATTTAATAGTACACGCTGTCGCCTTGCAGTAAGACTACACACTAAGCACACGGACGTCTCCGCTTGCCTACACACATACATACAATGAATTATCTTGTTGTATCTTTGTATGTAAAGATAGATATTATATATAACATTTTTAGCGGACAAGTGGGAGCGTCCGTGTGCCTACAGTGTACTCAAACTATAAGGCGACAATGCACTCTTTTCTCTACCAAATCAGGAAATAACTAGATAAAAGAATTCTGCGATAACCTTTCACAAAAATAGCTTTCTGGCCTAATTCATTTGTCCCGATGCCATAACCATGAACCAAAAGGCCTACGACGGAAACAAGAACGGTACGCCTAACCTTCAGGACTTAACATCGCGACGGAGGTTGGTGCTGTCAAAGTCAGCAAATAGAATAGAAAGGAGGCAGTGACGGCTTGGTTGAAAGGAGAAGGTGCTTTGGGATATATGGACGACTGCGCCACATCAGTTCATCGATAACAAAACAGAAAAAGTAGCTCGAATATAACCTAGGCAGCATCACGACGAGCAATCACTTATATAACCCACTTCTCATTATTACTCAAAGCAACTATGAACAGCGAAATGGAATTCTAGATCATAGTTAAACTAAATAAGAATCTATGTCTAAATAGTATGTTTGATGTTAATAACAGAAAACAACGACAAAGAAATTGTTTAGCTGAAAATGTAGTTGTACCATGGATATATTTAAATTTTTCCTATCTAACAGTGTGTTAACGTTGTTAAGTTATTCTTTTGTGCTTCTCTTTGCGAATTCCTCGTATTTGCTTTTGATATTCCCCATTAATGTGAACATTACATCTATCTTTGTCCTAGTTTTGTTTAATTCCCTGTATCGTCGCAACAGGACATCTTCGAAATTGTCGACAGTTAAATCTTGCATATAGTTTTTCAAGGAAAAAAGGTCCATGCAACGAAACAATCTTAGCTAATGACTTTTCGTCTCCTCCGCCAAACGGATACTTATTTTTCCCAAACATTAAAATTGCCTCTTAAAAAGAATAACTTCCGAAATTTGTACCTACAGCTATTTGAGTTCACAGTTATTTTTATGTGACTCAGTGTGCGACTGGTCCTGCAAAATACATCTGCTGGAACTACCGCTTCCGGCCATTGCGAATATTATCATTGCAATTCGCTACACGCTGTAACCCGACATTAATATACCGGAATTTCCAATGTCATAAAGAATAAGAAAATTTAACATAAAATATTTTATTTTTAGGAACTCAAGTTGCTTATCTCCATAGTAAACGCATTAGAGCCTACACTGTCAGTTGGACCATGTTAACAACGATGCGTGCTTTAGTTATTGAACTCATAAAGAACCAAAAGGGTGTCCATAGGTTCAGGTGCTCCATCCAGCAAATCTTTAGGCACGAGCATGGCTCTGGCATTCAACGATTCGAGTACTTTTCCGTCACGGATTGCCTAGATTTTGATACAAAATTTTTTTTTTTACACAAAAAAATTAATTTCTGATATTCAATTGAAGGAAAAATCGTATTAAAACAAAATGTATGAAAATAACCTTTAAATGTCGAGTATCAGCAACGATGAAATTCTTATCCATAGCTAATGACGGTATTTCGCCGCTGCGAATGCACTTTTTACTTAACGCAAGTACAAAGTTGAACATCGTTAAAGAGTCCAACTGTATTTGGCCGAAGTTGATTTTTGCCTGCTCGATGATCATGTCTGTTAAGCGCACGAATACTAGAAATGATTGGCCATTCAGTGTCATCTTCGTAATTGCGAAGTATGGGATGGAATCATCGTGGTTTGGTGACATCAACCAATAATTTCCAGGTGCTTCACTTATCTGCAACATGGGTATTCAGAATCAAGAATAATACTGAAATATTATTGAAGAAACTGTGGGAAAATTGAGTGAAAAAGAAAGCACTCTAGTTCTCAGTTATTCTGTAGGAGTATTTTAGTAAATAATAAAAATATTTATATAACGATTATAAAAAGAACGTACTTACAAGGCTCTAATTCACCTGTAGATGAATGGTACACCGGTATGTTAATGGTTTACAATTCTAGATAACTAACGAAAATAATTTTCCTTTCCCCAAACAGCATAAATCGTAGCAACCTATAGTCTCAACGTTACAATGAAAAAGTGCTGTAAATTGGCAGTAACATTTACATAAGCTGCTTTCAGTTAGGAAAAGTGCAATTGAAACAGATGCTACTTCCACTGTAAGTTCAATTTTCCAAGTGTAGATTTATCTATTATCAATAATGGTTCATCTACCACCGAATATTAGTATTATTGGATATACCTGTTTATAATAGAACAATGCCGATAGTAATTTGTCCATCGCTGTTTAGTATAGGGTTATTGTTTTCTGAGACAGCAGATTTTACTGTCTGGGCTACATAGTAGGAGATGACAAAACTGTGTAATTTTTAATAATAAAAAACTCGACGTGGTTTGTATTCTGAATACGGGACCATTAATCTGCAAAAATTTTGGACTTGCCACGAGGGACTAAATTAATACTAGCAGCAGGTATTTACGCGAATTTCTAGATTAACTTTCAAGTACCGAACATTATCAATAATAGATAGCTTCTACTATTGATCATAAATATAAATCGTTTTATGTGCTGGCACAAAAAGTACTTTACGTACAAACTTCTTTACGAAGTTTGTTTCGCTTTTTTCCATCAAAACTTACTAGATCTTGCACCATTTGCAATCTAGGGTCTGCTCAGATAACTTCGAAATGGGCTATCCTTTAGATCTCAAAGCAAATAAATGACAGTTTAACACATCACAAATCCGGTACAGAAGATGAAAGTAAATGCACCGGTATCTTTCCGTAATTATTTTCTGGTTAGTGCTTACATTACCTACCGGGTTAAGGACGTACGGTTGTACTAGCTCCTTCTCTATCTTCTCTGGAAGGATGAAAACGCCGTCACATACTTTAATTACGTCATGTATCAATTTCGAGTTCGATAGATTCAACACAAAACCAGCGAAAACAAACAGAATTAGTCCCTTCGGGAACATATTAGACAGGTAAAACTTCGTTTACAAGGATATTTTGGGTATGCCGTCAGATCTAATAGAGATTTCAGAGAGATACTATCATAACAACAAACTGAAAAATTTCTGTCTTCTAAAAATCACGATTCCTCTCGGGTTATCTGGATTACTTTATATGGCAGAGCCATTATAAAATTATTAAAAACGAGCAATAAGTTTTTTTTATAACTTAGACAAAATGTATTATAACCATCATCTGCTATGGTGATCTTTAGTAACAGGAAATGGCACTTACGAAGTTTTTATAAGAGCTACAATCTTCTAGCGCCGATGTCTTGCAATGAGCAACAATCCTTATGGTAAACTGAAAACCAATCTCGAGTATCACAAGTCCTAAACTTAATCACGCTAACCAAATGTGATCCATAGTAAATTGTAGTTGAGAACTTAAATACTTAAAAAAAATCAGAGTCTCAGGTGGACATCGAATCCGATATATGTTCTTAGTTGTTTGATGTACGGAAAACTCTTTCGGTGAAATAATCTGGGCGCGAGTTCCGGCGTATGCGTACTTTGTTTCTTTAGTAAAATTCAAACAATCATAAGAGAGATGAACATGGCAGCATCTCTCTCGGGAACTTCAGACTGCTTTTACTGAACGCCACCGAATGCTCTCAAAACAAAAAAAGATCAGCTGAGAACGAAGAAAGGCTGATGGAGAAATAGACATAATAAAACACAACTATTCTCGAAGGTCAATGTGATTTTGGTTTCATCCTTCAATCAAGGTTTAGGTGATAACGAACGAACAGCCGAAGACGTCTCCGTGAACGTCGAAGATCGAATCCGAGACTACCCAAGAATTATGCTCATTTAGACCTGCTGTGTGGGACCCTCCATCTAAATTGGGAACGTTTCTGGGGTACAATCTTTTCAGCAGTTCTGGGCTTTCCGGACAAAATATGTTAATAAGTTTAAAAATCTGCAAGCTTAGAAACTCTCCCGCAGTCATAAAATCGAAAAACGAGATAGACTAAGAACACACACAGACAATATGTAGCTATTTATATGACTACGCTCACTCTTAGCCTGTCAGGGTTAACTAAGTGAAACTCTGAGCCATCTTTTTGTGCACTCGATCACTAAATTACGCCGTCTTAACAATATAAATCTTTATATTATTATATAAATTTTATATAAATTATACAGTTGTACTATATCCAAGGACACTCAGGGTTGTTATTCATATTCCCAAATTACAACTGTGAGTATTTGTAACTCCAGTATAATTTTACATCACCTTTTCCAGTGGGCAAACGATAGCAATGTTTAATAGTGGTGTATTCTAGGTATAAGTGATATAGAACGAAAAGTATGAAATACACATTTTGGTAAGGTTCAACAAAATACGGTTCAAAGTAGCAAAGGGTAGACAAAAAGCCAAAAAGTAGCCAGATATGCCCCTATGATATTTATCACTCACTATACCTGCTAGAAACGTTTTAACTTGTTTAAGCTCGACCCGGTCAAGAAGAGAGAGCTATGTCTGCATATCGGAATCTTTTAACATCAGAGATCTGTCTAATCCTTCTAAAGTCATGCGATTGCTACTTAAAGTAAGCCCTTTCTCATGCTACGCAGCGAAGTAATTGAACTTTACACTGACACGAGTGCAACAACCTCAAGCAAGGATTGATGTGTCACCATCAAGCAATCCTTTGAAGCCAGTAGTCGTCTTCCTAGCTATACATAGGCAGAATAAGGGTAAGAACTTATTTATGGTGATAGATGCGTTTGAGGCGTTCATCAACAACGCGAGACAAATTCTCAGGTGGCTACTCGAACTAGAGAACTCACTCAGCGTTCGCCATATTTAATGTGGTTTTATCTCCACCGTGAATCTATTGTTTGCGAAGAATGAGACTCCTCGCTTATAGGTGTTTATTGACATTTTTGCTCTACAACAAGGAGGGTAGTTAGCCTAGCTTACTATAACGTTCAAGCTTTGAATATATCTGTACGAAGCATGCCGTTGCCACAACAGATGCGTTAATACATACATATGACGTTTTATTTTATTTATACCTTAGCTTAATATCTGTTCAGTATATTGTATATATGTTCGTTATATATAAGACCAACATGAGAGGACTTTAATAGTTTTTTTTAAATTAACGATTAATTCTCAAGCAACCAATGAGTGTATATACAGAATGTATTTGTACATTCTTGTGGCTTTCATTTAACGCGCCGTTTATAGGTATAAACCTTAGAGTATTTAAGAGCGTGACATAAGCCATCTATTTATTTACAAGGGTTGATTAGAAAGTAGCACTGACGTTGCAAGTAGTCGAGTGACGTAGGAAAGAATTATTCACAGTACAGGTATTAGCACTGCAACACAAATCTGTATCATTCGCAATATATGTTCCAATATTATATCAAGAATGTAACATTTCCTTCCGTAATCCCTGTGTATGATGCATTGTGCTAAGATTTGTCTTCTAATTTAGTCTTTTTCTTCGTATGGGGTTCCCTGAATACCACTGATAATCCACCACTCTGAATATCACGTTCTGATAATTTTTGACGAAGCTGAACCACTGCTCTCGCGTTTAAACACATCGCCTTGGTCTCTTTTCGAAAATGTGATCTAATCATCATATATCCGGCCTTCAATTTATCGCAACCCTCCGAAGTAGCATTCAAACTTGCAGTAAGGTATGCCGTTTCGAAATGAGCGAACGACTTTCCATAGCTGTCACTCATATTTACTCTGACGGTTTCACTGTATGGGCCAGCAACAGCAAGCAAGCGACATTCTTTCTCCTTCAACCCCCGATTCCCCTTCCGCCACCGTTCCCTGCGCGTATTTTTTTTTATCGAGACCAAGAAGGAACAATGGAGTCAGGAGTTAAGTTGAAGGATAATGGCATCGCTCTCACGAAGGATATTCAACAGGCGCTGTGTTGAGGTGCCGCCCACCTGGGCACATCCCCAACTAGCAGCGGCATAATAGTCTCTGCGACGCTTCATTGAAGCTATTGAGTCTCTGGTTATTGACTACATTCCTGAGTGATTCCGTTGCTTTAGTAGGGTATAGAGCTTAGGGACTAGTAAGAGATATGCAATTCGAATTGCAATAATAATCTGAAGAACAATGTTATCTTTTCAAGTTTATGAGAATAGTTTCGTTAGAACAATAAGAGGCAAGCAGTGTGAACTCGATGAAAATTATCAATCACTTGATATCGTACTGTTACACAGAGGTCTTACTTGGAATGAATTCCTAATAGCTTTTGTCTATTATTATAGTAAGCTAAAGCGTTTTAGATGATGTAACACACAAATTCTATATGCTACTATGACTTTAACTTCGGTATTTGTCCATGTACTAGTGGTCTCTTTGACATGATACTTTTTACCTTCAATTTATTCTTGACTGAATACCTGTATATATCAACATAATGCAATGCTAACGTATACTACACTTCTCTGTAAGATCACAAGTCTAAAACACATTAATGCTGGCATTAAAAGTGCAAGGAGTATTGACCACAAAATGGCTTCCATACACTTGTTAGACATTCATTGCTCAAAGGACTGCAGCCCAGCTACTGTTTGAGGTTTCATAACAATCTTTCAATAATTACAAAAGCAATCATTCATTTAATTGATCATTAAAAATGAATATGCTTTAATAACGGCAATGCTATATATATTGTTGATTTGAAATAGTTGGATCCGGCATTACATATGCGTGCCTATAAACAATATATTGTATTCTATATGTATATGTATTGCATAAAAGAAGACCATGCAATCAATAAGTATTAACATACTACCGGTGTGATTATTCTTGAGTACACTAAAACAGTAGCGTGCGTATGACGTTATATAATTCTTACGAGTAACACACACACATCCAGTCCCGCGCAGCCTTTATACAACGTTGCTTTGGTTGCAGATTTGGAGATTTTAGCTTTAATCAAGCAGAATTCGAAGCAGCGCGCGGACTCTAGTTCAAGCATGTAGTGAGCCTAGATAGATGTAGTTGGATGATCCTTACCGAGAAGTCAGCTGCATTTCTCACAACAACGAATTTTTCCGATGAGGGCGAATAGTGCGCCGGTCACGGTCAAAAAGTTGCGCAAGGAGCACACTAATAACGCCAATACTTTCACAATACCTAAAAAGTTTATGCTACCACTGCTACAACAACAATAAAGTAGTCGCCGACAGCGGCAACAAGTAAAGCAAACACAAGCTTTCTAATCCCCTAGTTTTGTCACCAACTCAAGCTACAATCAACCTCTTCATTTAGAGAACTCTAACGCAGCTCACTGACTTCAATGATCTTCCCGCCGAACCACACTCACCCCCCGGCTACTGGATCATCCGCAATGGCTTTCAGAAAAGCGGTATTTTTCCTTAGATCGTTTTCTTGGGCTTTTGAGTAGTACACTAAATTGAGCCAACACAGATCGATTTTAAGCCTTTGCATAGAGTTATAAGCAAAGCGAAATTTACCATAAAGGTCAACAATAGAAAGCTAAAGCTAATACTATCATGTTTGCTGCTAGCCCATGCAATTATGATCTTTATACTGTTTAGGTGAGTTTTTGTGCAGATCTGTATTCTTCAGTACTGCCATTAGTGTCTAGCACTACAGCTCCCTTTCGAGGCACACTGACCCTTATACATAGACACATCTATTCGCGTTGTCGAATCCCAGTTCTTGATAGGCAGGTTTATTCACGCTGTGTGGCTAGGAGCTGGCGGGTGTTGATTCCTCTTTGCCTTCCAGTGTGGAGACCGTTGAGGCGGGGTACTAGTTCAATGGGGTTGTAACTTGCTTGTTTTCCACTTGGTTGCATCAGAGGTGTCGATGTAAAGCTCTTGGCCGCTTCACTGGACCGTTCGCCTAATTCGGGCTACCGATTCAATCAAGTCAGCAGGCGACAACATATGCTAAAGTACAAGCTGTAACGACCCCTTATTAATCGCAATTCACTAGCTGCATTGCTGCTTGTAACGTTGTAAGACGTAGTTACGTTTCCAAATTGTTAGATTGTTCTCAGTGCCATATAAATCCCCTAGAAACCCGCTT